GGGGCAAAGAGGGCGGTAAGACGGCAGGTCACAATTTCCCTTAGCGTTGGGTCTCGGAGGCGTGTAGCAATGAAACATTTTGATTGTCACAGTTTGAATGTAACCATAAAACAAGGTGCATTAATGTGCGACCCTCATATGATTTTTGTCTCAAAATATATAAATTGTTTTTATTCATTTATATTTATATTTATATTTATATTTTTGTCATTACATTGTAAAGGCCAAAAACTCGAAACACTGCAAAATCTGCCCATACCCTCAACATTTATGTCTCTGGGCTTTAGGTTGTGCCATTGTTCAGTCACCAAACTCAAAACACTAATTCATTATCTAAATTTATTACCAACCTGCACCAAACAAACACCCCCTTATCTCTTACAACTTTATAAACCCCAGCAATAATATTTATTCTCTTATTAAAAAAATACCCGAAAACATGCCTAAATTGCTAGTGGAATTTCTTCAAGAGCAACAAGAACCATTTGCCTTGGATAATTACCTTCTCGAAAGAGGCTACTCCAAAGGTAGTACAACAAGTTCCACTCTTCGAAATTCGGCTCGATTCTTGAAGAAATCGGCCAGCCTTGGCCTAAGGAAGAGACGGGAAATCGTTCCGAAATGCTCGGAATTCGTTAGAGCGGTGTGCGGCAGGTTCGTAGTGTTGCACAACCTTGCTACTAATCATAACATCAAGAATCGTGGAAATAACGGAGGTCGAAGAAATAGTAACACTCGTGAAAAACAACATGCAAATGAAGAGGATAAATATTACTTATCATCAACCAGCGGCACTACCGTGTTCGATTCTTGCTCGGAGAGCGATGTCGGAGACGATGCACAATGTTCTCAAATAGAGGTAGATTTTTTATTTTTTATTTTTTATTATTATTTTTTTGTAACCACTTAATTGGTTTATTTTAGAGAGCATTATATCTAACTTAGTGAAATTTATATATGTGGCAAGGTTTAAAAATTCGATTAATTAGTTTTTCGACTTTTTGTAAAGCTAACAGGTTGATGCTGAGAGAAAGTTGAAATGGAGATTTATGGAAGATTGTAATAAAAAACTCTGTCCTGTCTCAATTCTTCAAGAAACAAAAGAGGGCTCACCATTTCATGACGGTGAGTATATTTTTTTCAAGAAACTTCGTACAGTAGAACTTCGATAAATTAATATAATAACCTCGTTTAAATAATAAATTCTTTTGGTCCATCTTAGCGAGAATGTGCTGAATTATTAATTCGATAATTTAGTATTCCGCTAAATTAACAGAATTTTCCTAATTCCTACTGTATTAATTTATAAAGGTTTAACTCTACATAATTTTTTTACATGAATAAAAAATAAAAATAAAAACTAATTATTCTTTTGGTACAAAATCTACAGAAGGGGAATCTTCAACTACCTCGTTTTCGCAAATCAAGTCAAAGCGGACGGCGACACAATATTATTACACTAGTGTCGAAGAAGAGTTGCAAGAACTCGCGGATGTTTCGAGTTCTTACAGCCAGTTCATTATAAACAAGAGGGCCTTGCAGCAAAATAAGCAGCTCTTGATTGATTGTGTGAGAGAAGTAATAAAAAAATATCGGAAAAACGACGGGAAAATATTCGGAACCGACGAGCTATGGAAACTCGTGTGCGAAAATGTGTGGATTTGGAGCAAAGATTCAATCGATGAAAACAGCATTATCCATTTGCTGAGATATGATTTTATGGAATCTTCTTTACATGCTGACTCTGAGCAACACAAAGAGGATCTTTCCATGCTGATTGGAGATGCTGTTTTGGATTGTATTATCAATGAGTTTATTACAACCCTAGCTAATTAATCAATAATTAACTAATTTAATTTTTTTTTTTTTTTGATTTGGGTTATATGAGAAATTAATTTGAAGGTTAACTGCTATAGGAATCATTAAGTTTCACCATTTAATGTTCATGCTATATATATGGTACATATATTTGTTGATATGTTATATATCACGTGATTTCATATTATTACTTGAGTACTATATATATATAGAGTTAATGTGGATGTGTTCGATCATGTAATAAGGTTAAATACTGACATCGACATGGCATGACCTCATGGATGGAGTCTTGGTTTTTCCTTTAATTAAATTACAAAAACGCCGTTTTGTTTGGGTAATTACAACCACCTCCTCAACTATAAATCTTATTACACGTCCATGCACCCTTGCGGTTTCAAATTTAGTAGAATCTTCTAGATTATATGGAATATTATCGCTTTTGTACCCGTTTTATCCTATTCGAACTTCACATTTTGAAGCAAGATGATCATAATATGTGTTTTTTGGCTTGTATATATCAGATTGTGGTGCATCAAAAACTGTATTTTTACACAAAACGAGTACAAACTAGAGCACAATCTACAAAATCTAGACGATTATGTTGAATTTGACACTATAAGGGTGGAGGTGTAAGAAAAAATCATAGTTGAGGGGAGTAGATGTGATTATCCAAACAACAGTGATTTTTTTCGAAAATTGACCATACTATATGGGTGGTTGTAATTTACCGTGTATATATATAAATTTTACAGTGTAATATCGATTAGCATTTTATGTTGAGTGAACAATCATGTAATGTAAATTCTAAATATTCAAAACCTATATTTGTTTACTTTCATTTGATATATATCCTACATCTTGTGAATACACACCGAATAATTTTTAACTGTTAATCTACACATAATTACACATACATTGATGTATAATAAATAATAATATATGTGTGTTTAGTGAATGCTATTTGACCCCATCAATTATTAAAAATCAGCCAGTGTAGATGACTCAGCGTAACATCTAATAAGCCATTATTTACATGTTATTTAGCTTCAACCTCTCTTAAATTATAGATATTTAGCAACTCCAATTCAAGCATTTGAAATTTGGCATCCATATCCCTTAATGACTATGGTAATTTGTGAATCACATCCTGAACATTTTAGGTTTTGATCACATGCACCTCATCTGGATTATTTGTAATTCTTTTTGTGAAAATTACACATTTTACCTTTAGTTTAAAATAGAAAAAAGATAAATATAAATTAAGTTTTCCGCTTTATTTAGGGGTGGAAATAGGATGTAGAAAGGAAAATTGCCATAAAATTTTGAAATTAAGACTAAACAAAATATTTCAAAGTCACTTTTGTTAGTATTTAGTTTAAAGGGGTCTTTATAAATAAGTTCATTAATGGGTACTTATTCATAAAGACATTCAGACAATAAACTCCTGTATAAATAAGTCCACACATGGACCAGATTTTTGTAAAAGACCAAAATAACCTCTCATACTTTAATATGCTCAAATTTCATCATTAATTTAATTTAACCTCAATTTGACCCCAAATTTCACAAATTATTCAATTTGAACCCAAAACCTTTTTTTTTCAAATTTATTTTTGATGCCGGATTCCGGCGTTGATTTTTTTTTTCCTCCTGATTTTTCAACCACCGGTTTCTGGCGTTGACTTTCTCGATTTTTTTTTTCTTTCTGTAACATTTTTTTTCGTTTAAACAACAATATTGCTGTGATTGACAGTAATATTAACTATATTACTGTTAAACACAGTAAAATTAACTAAACTACAGTTTAACACAATAATATTGCTATATTAATCTCTAGCACAATAAAACACATTATTATTGTGTAATAGAGTAATATTAATATGTTGACCGTTCAACAAATATAAACATAATAAAAAGTCAAAACAATTAATATTATTGTGAGTGACAATAATATTACCATAACAACAATAATATTACCGTCAACCACAGTAATATTACAATAATAGACTGTAATATTATTACGTTAATCCGTTAATAACTCAAACAAACAAAAAATCCAAACAAAATAATAATATTGATGTGGTTGACAACAATATTACTATAACAACAGTAATATTATTGTGTTTACAGTAATATTACAATAATAGACAGTAATATTATTATGTTACTCCGTGAATAACTCAAACAAAACAAAAAACCCCAAAAAATAATAATATTGATGTTGTTGACAGTAATATTATTGTGTTTACAATTATTTTATTGTTGTTGACAGTAATGTAATTGTGTTGACTTGTCCACAAATCAAACAAAAATAAAAAAATAACAACAAATAAAAAATAATAATATTACTTTAATTTACTGTCAACGGCAGAACAATTACATAAATGTATTGTCAACGGCAGTATAATTACGTAAATTAATTGTCATTGACAGTATAATTACGTTAATTTACTGCCAGTGACAGCACAATTACGGTCAACGTTTAGCGGCGGACGTATAAAAAAAAAAGAAAAAGAAAAAAAAAACTAAAAACAAAAAAAAACACTAAAAAAAGTCAACGCCGGAGTCCGGCGGCGGAAAAAAAACAGACCATAAAAAAAAAAAATAAAGTCAACGTCGGAAACCGGCGAAAAAATCCGGAAGAAGGAAAAAAATCGAAAAGTCAACACCGGAATCCGGCGGCAAAAATTTTGTTTTTTGAAAAAAAAAAGTTATTGAAAAAAAAAAGTCAAAATTGGATTTTTGTGGACAAAATTGATTAAATTGGGCTTACAATTAAGAATTGGGTATAAAGGGTTGTGGGTAATATTGTCATATACATGAATGTTTCCTTTATTTATAATAAATATTAAAAGGATGGGCTTATTATTGGTGAAAGAGATATAGCCACTAAACCTAGAATAATAAAGATACTTGGTTATGGACTTATGCACAAAAACCCCTAATTTAAAATGGAATTTCCAAATTTGTCTTACATTGAAAACATTGTGACTTTATAATTTTATTTTCAATTTAAAAATTCAATATTTAAATTTTGTGATTTATTTTACGTTTCAAAATATACTGTCGATAGATGTTTTTTTGAATTTTAGAAATCTAAATGAAAAACAATCAATATACAATGTCTTAATACTTGAATCTAAATGAACTGTATTTGAACATTTCATTTTGAATCGAGACTCGTAATCTAGTATTTTTTATTGTGGTTCGATTTTTATTTTAAAAAAAATCTAGATTCGGAAAAACTTTTAATTATAAAATTTGAAATAAATAGTCGAACATAATTTTTATTATTTTTGAAATACATTTTTTTCTTCTAAAAGTAGTAATTCTATTATGAGATCCTTCTAATTTTCAGACCTAAATAAAAGGGTGTCAATTGGGCCGGGCCATATGAATCGAGTTTTGGAAGATTCAAATTCAAATACAATCGGGCTTGATATATAGTTGTAGGATAAGATTGGATTGATATATTATTTCGAGGTTTGAGTTTAAATTGGTCTCAAATCGAGCTTATATCACTAAAATATTTTATTCTATAGAGAAAGTATTAAAGATTACATAAATTAAATATATATGATCAATAGGCTATTTTTAATTAGGCCTCGTTCGATTACCACTACTGAGTAAATTGTAGGGGTTAATAAGACATTGGTTTGACAAGATTTATATGTACTCCAATCTGCTATGAAACTTGAAGAGCCCTCAATTAAATGTTACTATTTTATTGAATGAATTATCACTTCCCCTTGTGATCAATTTTGTAGGGTGGTGACTACAAAAAATAAAAACAAAACACAAAGACGATAGTTTTATAAGTAAAATCATATTGTAAAGTAAAAGGTTTTATAATAAAAAATACATAATAAAATAATTGAACAGACTTAATACAAGATATAATCTAAGCAATGTTGTCGGAACCGGACCGGACCGGCCGGTCCGACCGGTTCAACCGGGACCCGGTGATGGTGCGGTCCGGTTCGACACTAAGAACCGGAAAAATCAAAAACCGGGGTCAGTTAATTTGGACCCGGAAAGGAGCCGGTTGAACCGCGAAAACCGCCGGTTGAACAGCGAAAACCGCCGGTTGAACCAGTTGAAAACCAGGTTAAACCGGATTCAATATCAAAACATAAAGGGAACAGATGAAACGGAGGGGGAATAATGTTTGGTTTTCCGATTTGCTGCAGATTTAGTGAAATATTTGATTATGTGTATTTAATTGGGAAGGGGAAGCACCATTGTTGAATGGAATGAAAAAGAGGCAAAAGATGAAGAGACGACACAAAGAACTAAATTAGGGTTTGGGTTAGTAATTTATATTGATTATATTATTAAATAATTAATTATCATTTATATTGTAGAATCAATTTTCTTTGTGTTTCAAATATGATTATATAATTAATAAATAAAATAAAGAATTAATTTTATGTTGATAGTTAAGGATGAGAATATGTTTTAATTTATATTAATATAATCAATTTAAAATTATAAATAAATAATTTCAAATTAAAAAACCCGGGTCGACCCCGGTTGAACCGGTCCAACCGTGACCCAAATGTATAGCCGGTTTCGTGTCCGGTCCGGTTCTGAAAACATTGAATCTAAGTAACAAAATATATTTACTAACTAAATAATTAGTTGCTCAATAGCAAATTAATCCAATTACATCTAATTTGAATTAACCCGACTACAATTTCGTTCATCCATATATTGAGCTCAAACTATGGCCATAACATTTCAGGCTTAAAATAATGACTCAAACTCAACCTAACTCATTATTAACTAGTTTTGACTCAATAAAGTCAGGCCGAGCCATCGAGCTTTACGTAGGTCTGACTCAATTAATGATCCTACTAAATATAGTAGAAAATTATTTTCTTTTTCTAGTTTTTTTTTTTCAAATTAATAAAAACTAACGTGCACTTTTCACCAAAAAAAAAAAACAAAAACAAAAAACTATTGTATTATTCACAAAAAAATGATGTATGTGTGCATATGTCAATTTGTCATAGTTAGGGTGTAATTGTTGGGATGTGGATGTCAAAATATCAAATAGTTAGGGTGTAATTTTGAATAATTATAATCAATAAGAGGTGGATAACAACATTCTAAATATTCAGACTGTAGTTACCAAATAACTATTAAAAGAGATCCAGCCCT